CACGAAAAGTTCACAAACTGCGGGGTCTTAAAATGTGTTTTAAACATGTCATTGAAGAAACTAGTCTCTTCCGTATGATTCTGTGGATATCATGGTTTTCTATTCTTTTAATCGGAAAAGCAAAAAACTCATTGTTCTTTTTTTTTGTATTGTTATACAATCCATTAAGATATTAAATCAATATTTATTTCTTTGGTTCGATCATCTTTGTTCAAATATTCCATTTTTAAGCTGTTTTTTCAAAGAAAAAAAAATCTTCTGCACTTGAAAAAGAAATAACAATCTGTGTCCTTTTCGTTCGTCTTTAAGGCCATTAAAAAGGTATTTTTTAAATTGCAGTTTTTTTTTCAAACAAAATATTATCTTTAAATTTGCTTCCAACGACGTTACAAAAAATGTCCATTTACTGGGACAAACTTTCAGATATTGAATATGTTAAAACCGTAACAAACAAAAAAAAATTGTTAACAACACAATACAGTACAAGGAAAAAGCTATTGCACCTAAAAATCGAATAATGACTAAGCTGATGGATAAATGTTTTTAACACCATACAAATAACACAACCTGCGCGTATCAACAGTGTTTTCAACGAATAATGGTTGACAACAAAAGCATCATGTTATTTTTTTTTCCATTATTGGATGGTCAGCACATACCCAGTTCATGTTTCCATTCGCTTTGTTCTAAATGATCCACATTAAACGATGTGTGACCAAGGAGGTGGGGGGAGGGGGGGGGGGGCGTTTGGGGGGGGGGGGGGGGGGTTAAGAAAGTGAGACATACGCTTGATAAACCAAAAAGTCTCCAGTTTGGGACCCGGAATAGAATAGACAGTGTATGACGTCCAAAGACACACTCAGCTGTTATAGGTACCTGGCAGGAGTCTGGGGGGGGGGGGGGAGTTACAAACGACAGTGCTGGTACCATTAACCTTTCATACGACAATGACAGAAAACTAGAGGTACAGCACTAAGTACCTAAAGCAGGTGAACATGTTTGGAGGGCTGTGGTTGATGTTCCATACCCAGGTAGAAATTATGGGATAGAATTCTTGAAGGATGTAGATAATGTCTCACACAGGTAGAAATTATGGGATAGAATGTCCCAGGAGGGATGTAGATAATGTCCGATACAGGTAGAAACTATGGGATAGAATGTTCCAGGATAGAGAACTTTTTGAGATATGTAGATAATGTCCCATAGGTAGAAACTATGGGATAGAATGTTCCAGGATAGAGAACTTTTTGAGATATGTAGATAATGTCCCATAGGTAGAAACTATGGGATAGAATGTTCCAGGATAGAGAACTTTTTGAGATATGTAGATAATGTCCCATAGGTAGAAACTATGGGATAGAATGTCCCAGGATAGAGAACTTTTGAGATATGTAGATAATGTCCCATAGGTAGAAACTATGGGATAGAATGTTCCAGGATAGAGAACTTTTTGAGATATGTAGATAATGTCCCATAGGTAGAAACTATGGGATAGAATGTCCCAGGATAGAGAACTTTTGAGATATGTAGATAATGTCCCATAGGTAGAAACTATGGGATAGAATGTTCCAGGGGGGATGTAGATAATGTCCGATACAGGTATAAACTGAATCACTGCCCCATGGGCCGTCACGGACTATTAAGCGTAAAAGAGATCCGTTATGTTCAGATTGTCTTAAACGAGAAACCGTGGTCATAGGGGCGGAACTACAGTGCCGCCAGACCCCGCAAGGGGGGGGGGCAGGCCGTTTAGGGGCCCAAAGCCGACCATAATCAACATTTTTATAGTCAAAAAAATTATTTTTTTGTAAAAAAAAAAACAGATCTGCTACTGTAATGATGTTCTACAGTAGCTAACACATGCTGTTTCATAAAGGGAAAAAATATATAGCTACATGAGTTGTAGTGTGAAAGATAGGCAAAAGTTCAAACCACTTCCATGACTTATTTCCCTTTTTTAAATAGTCAAAAATGTGTGCTCTTAATTAAGAAACTTTTTTTTTGGACTAAAAAAATTAAAATGCAATTACTTCTCATAATTATTATTTAAAAAAAAACATAATATAAAGATTGACATAGTGTTAAAGGAAATGTATTAAAAACTAATAATATAAATACAAAAAAATCTTAAAAATAAACATAAGGCGAGAAACCATTACACATACAAAGCTTTCATGCTTCATATTCTTTTTGACCGCCTTGTACATTACGAAGCAACATGGTAGACATTAAAACATAGAATTTCAAAACAGACTATAGCAGGGATCTGCAACCTTTTGGGTCGGAAGAGCCAAAAGTTATAATTTAAAAATTATACCAGTTTTAAAGAGCCACTAATTTTTTTTATTTCACTTGTATGATATTTGATTGGGACTATATATATATATATATATCTATATATATATATATCTATATATCTATATATCTATATATCTATATATATATATATATATATATATATATATATATATATATATATATATATATATATATATATATATATATATATATATATATAAAAGTCAACCCAGCTGATATGGGTATCTGATGACATTAGGAAAAACTGCGGCCACAGCTAAGACCTCCGTAAAGAACCCGTGACATATAGATGTTAGCCAATAAAAGACGATATTTTAAATTGTGCAATCAATCACTCGACTATTCAGACCAATGTATTGAATGCTTTATTGAGGATTGTATCAACATATGGTCTTCCATATTGTACTCACACACAACTTTATATTGAACTACATCTGACCTGCTCCCAAAGTAGCAGGTGCATATTTTACATGGTTAGATATTTTCTTTTTTTAATTCATTTTAAATGTGTATAATAGATTAGGCTTACTGCAGTGTACATGTTGTTATTTTAGTTAACAAATGCATATAAGTATTTACCAATAACTAATTCATATTTTGAAAGTTTGCAAGGGAAATAATTGCCTGTTTAATTGACAAATCAGGTACTTAAATGCATCGGAAATAATTCAAATAAAAGATACGTAATGTTTTATTTACCAAAACATACATGCTTTAACATTTTTTTTGTCTTGAAAAATTATTAAAGAAACGTAATATGTGTCCATGCTTTCTATTTAAAATGGCTATGTCATTATTCTTCAAACACAGTTGAGATATGTGTTACATATTTTGAAGACATGTGATGAAGTCTGATTACCAATGATTAAAACAAGTCCAATACTGATAGTATGAATTTCCTGATTTGGTGAATCTTATAAAAACTGCACAACCGACAGAACCCTATGCCAGGGGTCGGCAACCTGCGGCTCTTTTGATGACAAGATGCGGCTCTCCAGCTCTTTGCACAAATACTAATAATCTTAATCAAAAAATAAAATACTTGAAATAAAAAAAATGTTGGTGGCTCTTTAACACAAGGAAAATTTTGAAAATTGTAACTTTTGGCTCTTCCGCTTCAAAAGGTTGCCGACCCCTGCCCTATGCCTATTCGTGTAGCCCAGGGGTCGGAACCTTTAGAGGGGGAAGAGCCAAAAGTTACTATTTTCAAAATTGACCCATTCTTTAAGAGCCACTAACCTTTTTATTCACTATTTAGTATTTGATTAGGATTAGGTAAATAAATTGTATATATTTAAAATAAATACCCTTAAATATGAAATAATATTTATTCATATAAAAACATACACGTTTCGCTAGAATAATAAACTTAGTGATAAACTTAGTAATCAAATAATATAACTATAGGACTATCGCAATCCACTTTAGAAGCTGTTAACTATTTTTTATTTCTTTCTTGACGGATATTCGCATGCGGCTCGCGAGCCGCGGGTTGCCGAACCCTGGACTATAGCACTCAAAATAAAGACGTCTTGTTGTAATATGTTTTAATTAAAACTAAAAACTAAGAATTTAATTTTTTTCAAATTTCGAACAAGCCCGTATTGAGTATTCTATGTTGATATTTTCGTATTTAGTTTATATATATATATATATATATATATATATATATATATATATATATATATATATATATATATATATATATATATATATATATATATATATATATATGGGGCCCAAAATTTGTTTTTGCGGGGTTGCCCTATTTTTCTAGTTCCGCCACTGCGTGGTCACAGGTGTACATAGATCTATATCAAACCAAACTCAGGAAGAAAGTCGCGTTGACTGGAAGCTACCTGGATTTGTCCTATAAAATACCGTTATGTTTTAATGTCAACATTATGTATTTATTAGAAGAAAAAAACAAGTCCTTAGACTCTTAGATTTCATTACACTTAGCTTTTAGGATAATGTTTAAATCAGGTTCAAAAACTGCTTGTATGCTGTGTCATGTAAAATTTAAACGACGGGGCTGAGTTCAATGTTTACTGATCATGATTTATTGAATACAGCATTAAACTGGTTAATCGATACTTGGGGATTTTTTTATTTTATTTCTCCTATAGCTGTATATGGAGCCGGCAATACAGACAGAAAACAGACCATAAAAAGTCTGTCATTTATTCACTACTTTTGGAGCCGACAGAGACAAAATACAGACCATTAAAAGGCTGTCATTTAACTACTTTTGAAGCTGACTCAGACAGAAAACCAAGGACTTAAGTCTGTCATTTAGCCGTGGAAAGTCTGTCATTTAACTACTTTTATAGCTGACACAGAAAATCACAGTAGAAAGTCTGTCATTTAGCCACACAGACAGAAAACAGACAACGGAAAGTCTGTCTTTTAACGACTTTTCGAGCTGATACAAACAGATCGTAGAAATTCTGTCTTTTAACTAATTTTGGAGCCTACACAGACAGAAAACAGCTGGTGGAAAGTCTGTCTTTTAACTAGTTTTGGAGCCGACAAAGACAGAAAACAGCTCGTGGAAAGTCTGTTATTTAACTACTTTTGGAGCCGACACAGACAGAAAACAGCTCGTGGAAAGTCTGTTATTTAACTACTTTTGGAGCCGACACGGACAGAAAACAGACCGTGGAAAGTCTGTCTTTTAACTACTTTTGGAGCCGACAGACAGAAAACAGCTCGTGGAAAGTCTGTCTGTACCTAGAGCTCATCCTATAGTAGAGTATGACGCCGACGCTGGAGTTAGCGGCGTCAGCGCAGAGGACGAATGACGCCAAGGTCAGGAAAAGCTCCCTGTATTTCCCGGTAACGCTGAACCCGGGGACGAAAAACCCGATGGTGAAGAAGATGAACGAGGGGGTCAGGGTTACGATTAGCACTGTGGCTATCGTCATGACCGTAGCTGTAGCTACCCTGTCTCGCTGTGTTAACGCTTCCGTTTTGTTGTCGTGGAGGGTGGAACGTTTCCGCCATTTTGTTTGGCGACGTAAGAAAAAGACCAGGATCGCAGTGAAGATGATGACGGAGGGAAATGACGTGATCATGATGATGGAGTAGAGAAGAAAAGTCAACCCGTTCAGAGCTGGTTGGTCGGTTCTGAAAACTAGACCGACAACCGTGCGGTTGAATTCTGGGTAGAATTTCCAGTCAAAGTACGCGTTGATGTATTCGGGTACTAATGCTAGTACGATAACGAGACTGATACTAGCTAGGACTAGAGTTGTAGTCCGGACTGTTATGATTCTTTTAATCTTTAGCGGGGAGACAATACACAAACACTTCTCCGCCGTCATGTACACGGTTATCCACGCAGTGATTCTCACAAAGCAAGAATGAGGCAACCCCGCTGTCAGATGGTGAATCTCCGTCGACACAAAAGGAACCCGCGGGTTATTACTGAACAGCGGGTTGAAACAGATGCAGTACCACTCTAAAGTCAGCAGTCCGCAGAGGTCGGATATAGCTAAAGCCATGAACCCGATGTTGACGGTACTGGTCAATCCCTGCTTGTAAAACACAAGGATGTTGATGATGTTGGCGGCGATTCCGAAGACAGATAACACGCTGCAGAAGACAACGACAAACACGATGTCGATGAGGCGCCGAAGAGATTCCGAAACCAGAACGTCTTCGACAGCATGGGAAGAATTCGTGGAATTCGCCGAGATGATATTTGCTTCCAGAATAACAATGTTCTCACTCAGATTCATGTTTTTAATAACACGTATATGTGTAGGTTTAAATAAATAAAAATTGTCAGACTGATTATCAAACTATTTAGAAAATTTTGGTTTACCCTATTTGATTCTCAAATTAGTTTTTTAACGGATTTTTAAAAAGAGCAATTTTAATAGAATATATAAAGGCTTTAAATAGGCATATATTAGATTCTTCACAAGTTACTGCTTGTAAACATTTAATTATACTTAGGGTTTATACTGTAAACTAAATTCTACAGTTTCTTGTAGAAAGCTAGATATACGTAAGGCTTATGTTATATACTAAATTTTACACTAAGTTTTCTTGTAAAACGCTAGATATATAAAAGGAATTTTACTGTAAACTAACTCTAAATATTTAATTTCATTGGGAATGTCAGACTACGAAACAAATAGAAACTGTTAAAAATAAGCACCCAAGGTTTATATTTCATTTCTAGATGTCTCCCGATTAATTATCATGAGCATAATTACTTAAGCGCCGTAGGGTAGAAAGAAAATCATCGCTGAAACATTCTCTAACGAAAAATCAAAATTTATTAATTAGTTGGCCTATAACACCTCCGGCTAGGCGAAGTGGAAAGGGGGAGGGGGTAGTAAAATAAAAACAATTAAATTCTATTTTGAGAGAATATTGATTGATGCTATTGCCAAAAGCTTAAAAGACAATTTTTTTTTTATTTCAAATGATTAGGAAAAGTTAATTAATTTGTAAGTATGGATTTCCCAATTAAGTTTTAGTTCCGAAGCCTTAATTAAAATTAATAGAGTTAATTTGCATCAAATCTGCTGCTTCGACCAAAAACACAGATTCCGACTTTTTCGACGTTTTCAACCGATAATTAACAAAATTAATGAGTTGCTTTAAGGTAATAAATTAGCTCAATTAGCGTTAAGCACCTGCAATATCCACCAATTATGCAATAATCGCTGTTATTGACTTTGATCGTATAAAATGTCTATTTTTCAACAGATATTTTTTACGAACAAGAGAGAATTAGGACAACGCATTATTTAGGTAATTCCGGACGAAAATTTAAATGTACCCGCATTAAAACATGATAAAATGGGCGAAAGTTTATTAATAACTTCTTTCCGAGCCAGCGATTTGTTAGTTTGAGCTGTATTAAAAACATATGGTATCTTCGCAATCTTTTAGATAAGGTGAACATTTCTTTGATCCTGACTCTCCTAGTTTTAGGGTAAGTTCTTTGTTTATTTTATGATGGAATTGAATTATGATTTGTACGTTTGGTGCTAATTACAACGAAGATTTAAAAACAAATGTATGCCACAAACTAGCGTTGGCGAGAAGTGGAACAAGTTGTCCCATTTCTCATCACAGCCGTTCAGTATCTCACATTAAGTTGTCATTATAGTGGAATAATTTCATAATTACAGTCAAGTTGTTGGTCTATATATTTGTCTTTGGGATTATTCTAAACAGATGAAAAAGAGAGAAAAAAAATTGACGAGGGGTAAAATCGTTGTCCTACTTCTTAACAATCTCTCCTATAGTTGTATATAATGATGAATATTATCTTCAGCATGTGTTGTATTAATATTTATAAAGCGAAATGTTATTTTGAATTGTGTAGGTTCTGACAAATGCATTATCTTATTTGGCTTGGAACTCTGATTTTGAAGCACTTGGAATAAATAACAATATATTATACCATTAAAATTCAGCAATTTCTGATAAATAATCACATACGGTACCATTAGAAATACAATTCACCAACTTCAGTGACGATAGCTGTCGAATGTTATTTTAAAGAATGGCCACGCAGGTTCCTGATCACGTGATACGGGAACAGTTTAAAATTAGGGTTACTGCCGTGTTTTAAGGATTTGGGTTAGTACTTGATCATACTTTAAAGCCAAACTGCGCGATTTCAAGTTTACGCTTTGTACAGCACACTTTTCTTTGTTACATTAGATGAATCAAGAAATATGATATAGTATATCAAACGTGTAGTGCATGTTGTACTTGGGACTCTACTATACATTCTCTTTCACACACAAATATAAAAACAATATATATATATATATATATATATATATATATATATATATATATATATATATATATATATATATATATATATATATATATAACTCCCACACACTCCCACTATATTTTATTATTGTTAGATACCCACATCCAACAACCCACCCACATTGACACACACACATAGCCTACATACACCCCAACACACACACACACCAAACACATACACACACAAGCGCTGACACACATTTCGTATTCTCTTCTGATGCAATTAGCTAATTGCCTGGTGAATAATTAGGTAGGATCTAGCACGTCACATCGCTACACATTATTTGTTTTACCCTATGAATAATTTACGAGTTAATTAATTAAGCGCGGGGTTAATTATTAAAATATGTATCCCTGGGAACACGGGAAATCAATTTGCGTCCTGTTGTGGCGTCGTCTGCACTCAGTGTGACGTCGTGTAGGAATACAGCTATGGTGTAGGATTACATTTAGGGGTAGTAGTAGTTAGGGCGTGGGATTATATTTAGGGGTAGTAGTAGTTAGGGCGTAGGGTTACATTTGGGGGTAGTAGTGGTTAGGGCGTAGGGTTACATTTGGGGGTAGTAGTAGTTAGGGCGTAGGGTTACATTTGGGGGTAGTAGTAGTTAGGGCGTAGGGTTACATTTGGGGGTAGTAGTGGTTAGGGCGTAGGATTACATTTAGGGGTAGTAGTAGTTAGGGCGTAGGGTTACATTTAGGGGTAGTAGTAGTTAGGGCGTGGGATTACATTTAGGGGTACTAGTAGTTATGGTGTAAGATTACATTTAGGGGTAGTAGTTGTTAGGGCGTAGGATTACATTTAGGGGTACTAGTAGTTATGGTGTAGGATTACATTTAGGAGTAGTAGTTGTTAGGGCGTAGGGTTACATTTAGGGGTAGTAGTAGTTAGGGCGTAGGATTACATTTAGGGGTAGTAGTAGTTATGGCGTAGAAATAGAGTTGCCGTAGGAATAGTTATGGCATTGGAATAGTTGTGGCGTAAGAATAGTAACGTCGTATGAATAGTAACGGCGTATGAATAGTTATGACGTAGGAATAGTTATAGTGTAGAAATAGAGTTGCCGTAGGAATAGTAACGGCGTATGAATAGTTATGGCGTAGGAATAGTTATAGTGTAGAAATAGAGTTGCCGTAGGAATAGTTATGCAGTAGGAATAGTTATGGTGTAGGGAAAGTTATGGCGCAGGAATAGCTTTAGCGTAGAAATAGTCATGGCATACAATTAGTCTTTGTGAGAATTACAGTTTTATCGTAGAAATACAGTTATAAATATAACTCATCTGTTTTGGAAAGTAAAAAAAAAATGCGTAAAATCTTCGGGATTAGCTATTTAGTTTTTCTCTTGGGCCCTTGCTTGTAGTCCATCACATCTTAGACATGATTTGTTTTCTTTGAATCATAAAGCGTGAATCAGCGGCAAGAAACTGTGAAGGGGCTCTTCCCATAACCCGTCCATTGTGGTTATATGTTAAATGTATTATCTTCTCCTGACCCGAAGGATAACAGGGTGTAAGGGGGGGGGGGATTACCAACATACAACCATTCCCTTTTCTTGCGGTTAATTACTTACACTATAAACGATATCTAATTAAACTACCACGCCCACTCCCCGAGTTAATTATTGACGGCCAATTATTGTGATGGGATGTAGAGGGGGTGGATTGGCGTGAGATAAGTGGGGGGGGGGGGGAACTTTTTTTGGCAAGGCATTTTTACGGTGGCCCTTTTAATAAGGTGTGGTGTGAGATTTTAAAGGCCAACACTGTCATTTACGATTGAAATAGTTGAAAACTATTTTTTTCGTTTATTTATTTGGCAAGTTTAATTATCATTGTAAATTTTCGGTCTAGAATGTTGATACCTTATATGTTTAAACAGTTAAAAATATATGAGCTCTAAAGCTGTTATTTCTATTGTTATATATTGTCTATCTCTCTTAGCGTTCAAGTTAGTTATATCTACATGATTGAATTGTTTTGTGATGTGATTCGTTAATTATTTTTCTACATTTGATTCTGTTTTCATTAGTCTATTTATTGATTTATAAAGTGATCGCATCAAAAGAATAAATTTAGTTTTCAAGGAGCCTAACAATATTCTGGTATATCTGTGTATTGTTTCAAATAGTGTTGATTACCATGTTTTATCAATAACTAAGGTAAAGCAAAATTAATAATTTAACTGCAAGTATACAAACAGACATTCTCGAGTATAAAAAGCAAATCAGTGTCGGTAGAAAAATTTCGAATTTCGAAACAATTGGCCAATCCAAGTATCCTTTTAAAAAAAAAAAAAAAAATATATATATATATATATATATATATATATATATATATATATATATATATATATAAAGAAGAGACCTATCTTTTCTGTCAACCAATCTAGTTAACGTAACATTTACAAAAGTATGTTTTTTTATGTGTATGACTTTGGGTCTGGATGAAATATCAATCATGGGACCCAACCCCCCTCCCTCTTGCTGAATCATGCCCCTGCCCTATGCCCTTTAACCCCTGTGTAACCTAGGATTTTGTACAAGGGCGAGGGTGACGTGGATATGTTACTAATTGACACGGTGGCCTACATTTTAGATGATGATAAGGGAGGTGCTCCAGTACTCTGTTGGCAGGGGGTGGGGATGGGGGTACCTGTGGAATGTTGCGGGGTGGGTACCCCAGGGAACTCTAAAGCGCTGGGAGTGTTCGTGTGTGTGGGGGGGGGGGGGGGGGGGGGGGATAGTACCCCAGTGAACTATGTAGTGTTGTGAGTGGGTACCCCAGTGAACTATGGAGTTTTGGGAGTGGGTACCCGAGTGAACTATTTTGTGGGTTGGTATATCAGTCCGCTATGGAGTGCTGGAAATGGGTACCTCAAAGAATTACGGAGTGCAAGGAGTGGGTACCTCAAAGAATTACGGAGTGCTGGGGAT